ATGAAAGATCTTTGTAGTCAAATTATCAAAATAAAGTGTAGCCATGAAAACACCCTATATCAAACATACTTAAAGGTCCCATATAGTATAAAGGTTTCTCTCCATGTGTTGTTTGATTATAGATCAGGTCTAGGTTCTATATTAATACAGTGAAAGTATCAAAGCCTCAGTCCACAGAGAAATGCACACAGCCTGTATTCAGAAAACTGAGCCTTAAAACCAGCCGTTCTGGAACTTTGTGATGTCACAACAAAGCAGTCACTGCCCTCAAGCATGCCCCAAGCCACGCCCACCTGGACCCACCATCCGACCTTTTTCTTGCTCTTGATAGTCATTCCGTCACTGAGCTAATAGTGACAGTCATTGGTTGTCAGGAAGCCAATCACTGCACAGCTTCCACAAGAATTGTAACATTAGAGACCAGGGGCAGGTTACACAAAACACAAGTTTTCTACTTAAGTAATGGTAATTAAGGTTTAATTTCTCCTTGGGAGAGGGAGTTGCTTAAGAGTGTTGTACAGAATCTCTTAAAAGGTTTCCTTAGTTAAGGAAAAAAGTTAAGGTATTTGCAGCAGCGAAAGAGATTTTACAGCTGTACAATTCTACTGCATCGCTAAGGGTGTCTCTCGGTCATGACATGCTTCCTTGGATGCGTTTATTTATCCATTTTCATCACCATAAACTCAGCCATGTTGCAGTTAAGACAGAGTCAAACGTACCTTTCGTTTTTTTTTCCTTACTTTGGTTGCTAAGGCCTTTTGTGAAATAGTTTAATTGACTTTAAGTGAAGTATAAGACTAAGATAAGGAGAAAAGTTTTACAGTTTTACCAAGCTGGTTTCCCTGGGCTTGTGTCATTCATTCAGAAAACAGTCGGCCAATCAGAGGAGATGCTCAGAGACCAACACAAAACGACCTGTTGTTACCAGAGCTCCATAGAGAAGCCTGAGAGATGGTTTTTGGTTCTTTTTTTAAAGTATATTTTTTTGGGCTTTTTATGCCTTTATTGATAGTGCAGTAGAGAGAGACAGGAAATGGGGAGGCAGAGAGAGAGGGGGAATGACATGCAGCAAAGGCCGTCCGATGCGGGACTCAAACCGGGGCCGACTGCAGCGAGGACTGTAGCCTCTACACATGGGGCGCCTGCTTAGACCACTACGCCACATGACGTCCCTGATTTTTGGTTCTTAAAACCACAAATATATCTTCTTATGCATATCAAAACACTGAATAAAATAAAAATGGGACCTTTAAGTTTGTTTCTAACCTGTGTAATTAGTGTTTAAATGTGTTACTATAAGCCCTTTCGATAAAGCAATATGACTCATAATCAAGTCCTCAGCGACTGAAACACCTTTGCTTTAAGAGTAATCTTCATTTCTAACCTTCCAATAAGGTGCATTCATTGAGACTACACATGTGTCTGCAGCACAAAGACAACCTGCAGCTCAGTGTGTTTGCTGCGTCCACCTCTGGTTAGCGGTGTGGGCTGCAGAGCGGGGGCCGTGCGGTCGGCTCTGATTAGCAGACGGCATGGAGCACGGGGAAGTCGTCATTCGTCTGATATTAAAACATCCTCATAAACAAGGAAGAGACAGACAACCGCTGCTCACACTCCTCCTGCCATCATATAATTTACATTACAGCACAATCATCAGCTTTTATAATGATGTATGTCTGAGCTTTGGTGCTGATCATAATATTACATTTTTTTTCAGTACACTACCGAGCATAAACCTAAAAAAGCCAAAGAATCTCTTCAGATCCTGAGTCAGAAACATGATCTAGAATGATGACGTCAAAACTTATTAATTCAACTCTATAATATTTGACTTTTATTGTTCATGGCTAACAAATGACTGTTTTGCCATTTACAGCCATAAATTGAAACCGAGCATTCTTTCCCTCAAAAATAAATTCAAATAAAAATAAATAACTCAAGGTACTTTCACCTAAATAACCTTACCTCACCACTCTCAAATCAGACTTCTTAGTGAAAGGGCTGATAGCTTAATGTTATTATTTTATATTTATTAAACCACTCTCTAATGCTTATAGGTTGCCACGTTGTGAATAATCCTCAGACAGTTGGATCAATTACCTCCTGGAACAAAATCTGGACAAAAAAACAAACACTTTTACAGCTGCAGATTGAGATTATTTAAAGAACTCTATTAATTATGAATTAACATGTATAAGTGTGGAGGATGATAGAAACAGAGATAAAAGTTGCTCTCATCAAAGGCTCAAAAAACCGGTCGATAAAGCATCAGTAAGTGATTTATTAACTGCTAATAAAGCCTTTACTCACAACTTATTAACCAGCACCTTTTATAACAGGGCCTCAATAGAAAATGCTTCGACACCAAAGTTTCTCCTCGTGAGCACAATGATCCGCTCATGAAGACCATGAGTCTTAGTTAAAGCTGCAGGAGTGGCCATTGAGGTTTTTTTTTTTTTGTTTGTATTTGTCAAAATATATTTGCATGTGCATCAGTCTCACATCATGTTTACTCTGGGGGTCTATAAGGAAAATTGTATTAAAAGTCTAATCAGCCTTCAAATGAGTGTAAAATAAAATATAAAAATATAAAACTGATAAAAGAACTTCATATAGAAAAACCTAAATAATTCAAATAGAGTATAAACTACACACTGTAGGTCTGTAGAGTTCAGTTAACTAACACATGGTTAAAATATCAGCAATGAAAAAGAAACATCAACACGGTGTTTCAGATATTTGACACTGTCTCTGTCGTTTACCCTCAATTCTTTATGAGAACAGAGAAAGAAAAGAAAGACAATTATAATTTATAAATGTATAAATAATTTATTTTATCTTATTTTTTTAAATGTATTTGCTGGGTTGTGGATTTTATTTATTTGTTTATTAACTGGGTTATTTTTGTGAAATAAGTCCTTGTTTTAAAGTCAGTAGTGTATTCCCCCGGCTGTTGAAGCCAGGTTCGCCCTGACCCGATCAGCTGTTAGTGACACACTTGTGATAATCATTTCTGGCTTTGTTCCTTTTGTTTGAAGGTTGTTTTTTTTTTATCATCTGTATTACTTGATAATTAGATTAAATCTCTACCACATGTGTGAATTTAGTGAAATCTGCATCTGTATTGTTTGTTGCTTTTCTTGCTCTCATATTTTTTATTCTGTCACATACAGTATTAATTGAGATTATCCGGACGGAGCTGAACCTCCACCCAGAGAACTGCGGGACTGCTGTTTTGCTGCAGTCCATCCTGACACTGCTGTGTAAGATTATAAAATTAAACTTTATTTGTTCATCTGCAACATGTGGGAGAGAAACACCTGGGCTGTAGAGAGTAGCTCCATCAGTGTAGCTCCACATTCAAAAGTTCTTTTACATCTGACAGGACATGTTGAACTGTTTTCATTTGTTTTGGAGCAGAAAACAAGAAAAATCTGAATATGTGAACTGTCACTTCAAGCTGCTTCACCGACAGAGAAGTTAATAACATCCTGAATATATAGGATTTATTTTATTTATTTAATATTTACTTCCTTTTTATTAACCACAATAAAACTGGATCTCAATCAGGTTATTATCATTATTATTCTTATTGAAGTGTGTGATTATTCCCATTTACCTTTTGGAAAGTGAACATATAACAGACAGCACAGAGAGGGAGTGACGCTGGTTTGACTGGCCCTAAAATAATGTTCAGTTTCCAGTGTGTTAAACTAGTTTACTTTATTAAACATTGAACTTAAACCATTGTAGATCCATCCAGAGAAAGTTAAACAGCCGTATGAGCAATTTGTGAAGAAATAAAAACCAAATCAGCTTCTGCACCGTGTGATTCGCTGCTTTTAACTCCCTGTTCTGGATGATTTTAAGAATATAGAAGCAGACGTTACTAAAGTAGAAATCAATAATCACAGAGCTGGAGCCAGAGTTTTAGAAATACTGAGTCCACGTCGTCCAATCACAAGCCTCCAAAATTCAACCAGACAAAGAGTTTGGATTTTATTTATCCAGTTAAATATTCAGTTACATTTTCTGTAAATTTAATTTCTCAACACTAAGATCCTCTGCTGTGTTTCACACCGACACAATAATATTCTCATCAACTGGGGCCTAAGAGTTACATTGAAATATACATTAAATACCCAGCAGTCTCAGCTTTAGGATAATATAACTATCAAAGAGTCAATATAAAAACTACAAAGGAAATGATGCACAGCTGTGGCACTGATCATAGCTGCAGCTCTAATATGAATATTTGAATCTTATTTTGAAAACTGATCTGCTGTCGTCAAAGTCTAATGTTTCAATTAAAGGTCCCAATCAGAAACTTTCTAAATCATAAATGTGCAGGGTGCTCACAGTAATGTGCATTCTTTGGATTTGGATTTTTTTTTTTTAATGCCTCCACACACACACACACCTACACACACACACATCCTTCTGCTGACTGAGATGTCAGATCCTATTTTAAATAAACCTAGAAGAAACAATAAAATCAGACACCGTGTTTATGATGTTTCATTTATATTTTAATGTAGGCCTATAGTCGTTTTAAGTATCTTTTTCGTATTTTTTCAAAATAAAATGACACAACATCGGTGTTTTCCTCCTAACAGCTCCGTGGTGATGGATGTTTTTACAGACTCCACATGTTTCCCGCGGCGGCCGCGCGCAATATAAAATGTTACAACGGAAAACATTTTTACCAGAATTACAACATTTAATATTCATCAAAATGTCGCATATAACATTACGATATATTCAGACGCGTCAGTCAAACGTCCCAAAAAAAAAACTTAAATTAAATATAAATAGCGGACACAGACTCAATCATAAAATGTCGATATGTACAACTGTGCAACATGGCAACACGTTTCATCACCACCACCAGCATGTCGTCGAGTCCACATCACTTTCCACTATATGTACACACCTCCACATACACACACACGCGCACACACACACACACACACACACACATACAGGGCCGTGTCTTATTATCAGCTGTCCGAGTCCACCTCGCTTTTACTCTCCTCCGTTTTCTCCGCGGACGTTTTGGCGGATTTGTTCCATTTCTGAGAGTTTTCTGATTCCTCTGATGAAGAGCGTTTCTGCCTCCTCCACTTCGCGCGTCTGTTTTTGAACCAAACCTACATGATAAGAAAGCACAATTAGGCCTATGTGTATATGTTTGTTTGTTTTGGTTTTTATTCTCTAATCACAGATTGGACATTGTACTTGTAATGTGTATCACAGTCATTAATTTGACTGTTTATCCTTGAAAATATCTAATTAATGACTTTGGTAATTATTCATTTATTAAGTAACAGCGGATAAAGTCATTCATCAAGACAACAAAACGCATAAAATGTAAAAACGCATCATGTTTTCTTTTACGACGTTATTCAACGTTTTAAAGATAAAACTATTTTAATAGATAGTTTGCATTAAGTGGACTTCCAGTGCTGCTCAGTGGTGCTGATTAGTGAAAATATTCCTGTTCTCATTATTTTTCGTTGGTGCCTCGTTTCTTTATTCAAGAATTCGTTATTAGCCTATAATTATTTTTTATTCAAACCCCCATTAAAGAAACTTGATTTAACATCTGCTGGATGCATTTTTATTAATCTCTCTTCTTGAGCTAATGAGGTCGCATCAATTTGAAAACTAATAACTAATATTCTGTTCGAATATGATATGTATTTTTTTCCCAGACAGATTTTATGAGCCGAGCTACATTTTAATTCACACCAAAAAAGCTAAGTTGTGTTAACGGTTGTATAGGTTTGAATTGAAAATAAATTCTTCCATAAAAAAAAAAAACAAGTGCTGTTTGTCAGAGGAAAATAATACGATTTCAGTATCTCAGTAAAACTGAGAAAATGACACTGATTTCTTTTTAATCGTTTTAAAAACGAGATTTACTTAAAAGGCCTTGAATCACGAAGAGCGGCACGAAAAAGCATGATAGTTAAAGCCTTTGTAATAAAATATAAAACAGCTAAACAACAATGCCGCTAATGAGAATAACAACTTTACTGTAAAGGTGTTTTGTTAGGCTACTTTTAACAAAATAAATTAATAAAAATAAAAAAAAAGAAAGAATCTTTTTCTATTTTCCCTCATTTGAAACCGGAAACAATCAGAAAGGAACAGTTTAAAAAAAAAAAAAAAAAAAAAAAAAAAAAAAACAGTAGGAAGTTAAATTCGCCTCTGACCTCGACCTTCTCCTCCCGGAGGTGCACCTTGCGGGCCAGCTGCTCCCGTGTGCCGACGTCCGGGTACTTGGTCTCCTGAAAGAGGCCCTCCAGAGCCTCCAGCTGCTCGTCGGTGAAGATGGTGCGGTGCCTCCGCTTCCTGCGGCAGTGCAGCTGGTTGAGGAGCTGCAGCTCGGTCCGCGACAGGCTGCCCATGTTCATATAGGACATCATCTGATGGGGGACCGGGGAGATCAGCACCGAGCCCGGGCTGTCGTAAGCTGCGGGGACGGAGGAGACAGAAACACAGGGGTGAGTTCAGGAAACTAGGCCTACATATATATAGACACATAGGCTGCACATACATATACATATACATGTAGGCTAAACAGCGTTCATTTAAACTGCCAATTACAGCTGCTGCAGAAAACTGGAAACTGTGGGCCACGCTTTGCTTTTTTACGCACGTGAATATTTAATTAATGGGTAAAGATAATTAAGTTTAACTGTGTGTGGACGGAGTTCAGCTCGTGCATTAAACCTCAGTCTGACACTGTCTCTTTCTTTATAAACACGTCTGTTTGGTTCAATCACAAAGCAACAACCTCCAGACTGTCAGAGTCTTTTATCCTGAAGAACAAGCTCTGACATCAAAAAGTGAATGTGGGCGTTGAGGGTTCTATAGGCTATGTGTCCTTTAGTTCACACTTAAATTACGTCACAGTGCGTCGTTTTAGACAAATTATCAGAAATAGTTTTTCTTTCCTCCAAAGAACATTTGTCTTTAAATAGAGCAACATGCGACATGCTGGAGTTCATGTATCACACTCGAGTTTATTGGTCAAATGTTGTTGTTTATCATTCAGTTTCTTTAAAGTGGCACTTTTTTTTTTTTTTCGTTTGGACACCAGTCAGAAAACTGGGATGTTACATGTTAAATAAGATAAATTCAGTGCAGATTTCCTGACCCTAGAGTTTCACGTCTATAGTGGATTTTAAAGTTGGTAAAAAATCTAAAGAGAACCGGAGTTTGGTGGTCCTACCTGCCGGGATGCAAGGGCACTGCTGCGTGCTGAGGCCGGGCACAGAGCCGCAGCACGGCGGCCCTCCTCCGGCGCCCTGGACTTGAAGCTGTCCGTAGTAGTAGCCGTTATATCCTATCCTGGTCCCGTTCACAGACTGAATCCCGGAAGGAGAGGGCCCACACGTGGCCGAGTACAGTCCGTTGTAGTCGGTGTAGATAGAGTCCGTGAGGCCGGCGGACAGCACCACCGGGCCGCTGCGGTGCAACAGCAGCGGCTCCTTGCAGCTCGGCCGTCCGGACAGGATGCTGTCTATGCTGAACATCCCGGCGGGCATCACACCGGAGACGGGAAGAAGTGTGGAAAGGTGAAAACTGCTCGGTGAAGTAAAAAAAAATGCTCCTGACAGATTTCCGCTCTCCGTGGACAAATAAAAAAGTTTCCTAAAACTGCGTCATGTTGCGTCTGAAAGGGGACGTTTCTCCCTGCAGCTCCGCGAGCTCGTGTCGGCGATGCGAACTGGTGGTGTTTGATGGGACCAGCTGAGCGCAGGGCTGGTTTTATACACTGCTGACGTCACGGCGGAGCAAGGGCTGGTCTGAGATCAGCTGCTGAAACGGCCGCAGATCTGTGTATTAAGAATTAATTCAATTAAGATAATCCGCACTGTTTGGAGACTTTTGGAAACTCTTGCTACAGAGTAATCCGATTATTTCCTCGTCAGTGAAGGCATCATAATATATGGGATACATTTATATCAGTGTTTACACCGAGGAAGAGGAGGATGATGAAGACTGGGCCTTTTCCCATCAGTTCAGAGAGGTGGACAGCCAAACCTAAAATAACCAGTTCATGATCCTCGCATTAAACTGGTACAGTAAAACCACTGGTTTTTTTTTAAACTCGTTGTTTAAGGTGAAACATGTTTTATTGTAGTAAATAATAAACCATTTAACGGCAGCTCACAGCAGCTCAGTGCTTAAAGTGATGAATTAAATAATTTCAAGAAAAATGTAATTAAGCTTTTAATATATCCAAATAACTTTATTTCACACAGAAACAACATTTTATTATTATTGTTATTATTATTAATATTGTTATTCTTTTTTTTCCCAGTTCATTTACAGAACAAAAATAAAATATGAGCCGGTGCATTCCGCGCCAAGCTCGAGTCTATCTCTGAACAAATTATTATTATTATTATTATTATTATTACTCTGAAAGTAATATTGATGATTCATTTAAGGTTGGTATAAATAGTCCCGCGGCGGGATAATAAAACAAGCCACCTACCTGTAGCGTGGTGTGTGTGAAGGTGCAGTAAAGTGTAATCAAAGGTTTTTATTTTGTCCCTGCATGAGTAAATGAATATTAACCGTGTTTCTGCAGCAGACAGGAGCCGCTCAGCGATATATCAGCGCTTCATCTCATTATCCGCCCTCCATCGCCTCTCCGCGGGAAGCAGATCAGCGGCGTTTCCTCCCCGACAGCAGCTCCCTCTCTGCGGGTCAACAACGCCGCCTCCTCAGCGCCACCCTCCCCGGGATAAGATAACGGCCCATTATCGCCTCTATTCAATCCTGGAAAAAGAGAACGTATTGCGTATTTACACGGCTAATCAACATGGGCTGATTGGAGGTGGAGGTGGTGGATGGGGGGGTGGGGGGTGGGTGGCGGCTGCTGTGGAGGAACGTGGATTCCCAGTTCAGACCTTAATGGGACTCGTTGATTGCATTTAACACTCAATGGGGTGTTAACACAGGCTTGCGGCAGGCGCACAGATAAGATTGTGATTTTTAAAACGCGCCGTTAAGAGATGGGAAATGAGGCTGATTGTCCGCAGCTAATGCGCTAAAACAATTGATTTCCATCAACTCAAGAGTTCAGCTGCGAAACGCCAATCATTTTTATTTTACAGGCTTTTTGAAATTACAGATGAAAATATTTATCCAGATTTCAGACTCCTGAATCTAAATTGTACTTGATGTTTTATTTATTTATTTATTTTAAAAAAAAAGATAGAATTAACTGAAAAATCATTCCTTGCTCTCAATTATTTTGAAAAATGTTATTTATCGTTTTACTCTCCTTTTATTTTGGAGGGGGAAAACAACAACAAAATGCACCTCCAGCCTCCATGCAGAGATTTTTCAATGCCTTAAAAAAGAAATCTGATTTCTGCACACATTAGAAGAGTTGCGTTAGACCTCACAGCTTCTTTATGTAACAATTTTCTTCATTTGCTGTATTTTCCATCCTGTGCAGAGCCTCATGCAGCTGAGAGATGGGCGTCACTGCTGCACTGTGTCTCTGCATATGAAACACAATACACGTAGCTCTCCTCTGTTCCTTAACTTCCGCCCTTGTTCCACTTTGCAGTTTCCTGTTCATTATGCTGTAAATAGCAAATACAGATCATTCAGGCTTGAGGAAATATTTAATTCTTCTAAGACTGTGTGTGTCTGTTTCTGTGTGGTGGATCCAGTCCAGTCAGGCTCCTTTCACCATTTCAGACCTTAAAATGTCCCAGTGTCCATCACTGCCAGTGGGTTCTAAATCAGAGTTAATCTCCAGCACTGTTTAAAAACCACAGTTGAAAATAAAATATGTCTTTAAAGCATCAGTTTCAATCTGGATTTAAAGGTGTCAAACAGTCACAACCACGTGGCTCTGTAAAACACCCACCTCAGCTCCTCATTTTGCTCAAAATTAAAACCTTTATAAATGTGGTGAAGAAGACTCCCTGTCACCTCAAAGCAGCTACACTCACTGGAGGTGCCTCAGTTTTATTTTGTCTTCTTCTTAATGACTAAATCTCCTCCCGTCTTAATGACTTTTACAAGCCGCAGCACTTAGGAGTCCCACATATAGTCTATTAAAGGGACCTGTAGATTCAGCAGGTTTAGCCCTTAGGTTGAGGTTACTCATTCACTTCTTACACATTTCTGGTAATATGAAAAGCAAAAACAGGAATTGTAGGTTTAAAATTAAATTTAAATTTTATTCCCTGTCTACATTCCAGTTCAGATCATTTACAGGTGGATGTAATTTGACGGCGACATATTTTATTTGTGTGCAGGCAGCACACGGGGACAAGGACCCCACCCCCCCCACCCCTGCGCATGCATGAATGTGAGAGAAGCCCCCGCTTGTTGTTGCCTTTTGATATGGAAACATGTTTTTCTTGCTGAAAAGCCTTTTCTGTAATACAGTCACACTGTGATTCCAGCCGAGTGGAGAGAGGGGAGAGGAGAAGAAGAAGGAGAAAAAAAAAGGGGCCAAATGCTGTTATTATTTTCACATTTATTTCTATATTTCTACTTCCAAGTGGCAGTGAAAGGAGCAAGTCAAAAGGGATTGCTATAAAACGAAACATCCATTTGAAATTAAAAGCTGTGGAAAAGCGCCGTGAAGGCAGCACTTATAGGTGAATAGAAGCGTCAATCAGGCTGCAGATGGAGGCAGAGGACTCACAAAGCTACAATAGCAGATGCATCTTTATATATCAGAGCCCTGATCTGTAAAACCTGGTTAAATACGGCAAATAAAACAGGCAGACTTGGTAATGCGTCCCTCCAAGAGGGGATAAATACATGGTGAGGGCTGTCCAGGATTTGACACTGATGTCCTTTTACATCTGACTGCAGGGGGAAAAGTAGCATCTGCATAATTTACATAATCACAACATCAGAAGAGAAAACAGCCAATAGATGGATAGATAGATTTTGGTTATTCTCTTGTAAGGGTTTTGAATTTATTCCCATACAGTACACACACACACACACACACACACACACACACACACACACACACACACACACACATATATAATATATATATATATATATATATATACATACACATGTGAAATAAGGGAGGGTGGGCTCAGTTGTACAATGCTTCAATTTCCTCCAATCATAGGCGAGTTTGAGTGGTGTCACTCAGCCTCTTCATTCTGTATTAAGGCTTCAATTTGCTTCAGATGAATTACTCTCTCACTTCACAGTGGGACTGGCAGAGGAGGGGGGGGGGTCAGTTTATGAAACTTTCAGACAATTACAAACATTTCACTTCACTCAGGTTTCTGCAGGTGATGAACGTGGGCGGGATTCAAACTCACCCCCGTTGTACAACCACAGCTTTTATATGTGGCCATTCAGACAGTCAAGTCGATTCATCTGTACACGCTTAAAACTGGGTTAAATGTAATCCCAATTATTCTGGTAACCCAATGCTGTGTCAAAAAGGGACTGACCCAACCATGGGTTGTTTTAACCCAGCAGGGTTGGTTTATAGGTTTGATGCAGCATGTTGGGTTATGGATAAAATGATTATGTTGTTGAATTAAAGCTACCAAAAAGTGGGTTAAAAAAACAACAACAAAAAAACAACAAATTCTGGGTTATCACTATCACTGGGTTTAAAATGACATATTTAATGTCAGTCAACTTCTGCTGTTTCTGTTAAAATTAGATTCAAATTGTTATGAAATGATGAAATGATGAAACAAGCACATGATGTACAGGCCATTTTTTTTATTGCTACAACCAAAAAATATTGAGTTAGCCATGTATAAGTTCTATTACATTTAAATCATAATTGTATAAAATGTACTAAATTCATTTCATTTTCATGTTTTTTCATAGTCTGTAATGTTTCTACTGATAAAAGTAATAATGATGGCTAATAACAGTAATAATAATAATTATTTATTTCAATAAATTTAGCAGCAGGTGTTGAACAAGCTCATGGGGGCGGTAGGTGGTTTGCAGTTGCAGATCCCAACTCTTCAGCTCTGGAGGTAGAGGACCTGCGAGCAACAGGAGGAGAGAAAGAAAGAAGGGGGGGCAAAGAAAGAGAAGGGAGAGAGAGAGAGAGAGGTATACAGCTTTGGTTCTGATGTGCTTGAAGCAGTGTATTTGGAGCACTCTCCATATGAAGCATACCAAAGCCTTTAAGGCTGCAGGTCATATCATGTGCAACGTGCAGCAAAGTAGAAGCAGGAACACATCGTTCAGGAACATGTCTGGAACATGGAACATGTCTGTTCCTTAAGTCAGGGACATGCTGCAGATTTTTCAGTCATATACCAACTAGTATGAATGGATATTCATGCAATTTTAAGGGTTTGCGTCAGTCTAGCGTTGCATGCATTTCCTGATCCACACTCCACTCCAGTTAGTGGCGCTAATGTATCACAACTCCAAGAAGAGAGACTAGGTCTAACCTATATGTCTGAACTGCCTCTGGTAAAATCTTTAAATCTTTAATTTTTTTAATTTTATAACTACGACGTCATCTGACAAAATCACCAAATACACACTCAGAGAGAAAGTTAGAAGAGACAGACTATGTTTGTTATTCAGTTTCTC